CGCCCGCGCGGGCGGGGGGGGGGGGAGAATTCTAGGAGTTGAAGTCCACTCATCTTAAAGTGGCCAAGTTTGGACAACACTGCTCTAAGTCTACTGCTTAAGTTTCTTTCTGAGAGAAGTTTAGTAGGCAAAAATGGCCATTACCCACAGGCACGGACCTTAAGTCCCTCCAATATCATCATGTTGTCAAAAGTTCCCACAACTAAATATGGGTCTCAAGTCCATCCAGGATAATGATTCTTAATTCAAGATTGTGACACAGACTTATGTTACATCAGAAATAGCTCTTCAATATCAGTGATGCAGTGACATTTTACTTAGCAGATTCCTTCTCAGCCAGCGCCACACTGATATTAAAGCAATGCAAACCAGACAGTAAGGATGATACAACAATATATCTTTCAAGCAAATATTTACCTATGTACAAGGGAGAATTGTTTGGCTCAGCAAAGTCATCCACATAGGAAATTCCAAAAGGCTGGATAGGGACTGTTCCAATTCCAGCCAAGAGTTGGGCAAGTATCATTAATCCCCACATGATGCTGGCCTCTGCCTGGATGTTCACAGTGGCATTGGAACACTTAAATCCCCCTTGGCAGAGCTCTAACCTGGTGTGGCTGCTCTGGTTATCTGGAACAAGATCAACAAGCATTTCAGAGGAACACACTGGAAACTAACTCTTTATGATACCAAGTTCTCATATCAAATCCAGTGTTAGCATTTTTGTTTGAAAAAGAAAATGACTCTGGTATATATAAAAATGGGGAAACAGCCAACTTGAGAGTCAATCTGCAGGTAGGTTATCCATACATAATCACTTGCAATGCAAATGTAACTTCTGTCTTTCTCAGGACTCATTATGGAAGCTTCAGGAAGAAGAAAGATGAGGATCAAGGAGGTGGCCCAAGCCACATTCCCCACTGGCATTTGTATCCATAGTTAGGATCCAGATGAACAAAGAATCATTTAACAACAGAGGATGTGGGGGGACAATAACTGTAATTGGGATCCAACGGTCCACATACAAAAAGAAACACACACACATTCACACGCGCACACATACACACAAAATGGGGCACTGAGTTGACTTTTCCAATAGTCTCTTATGCTTTGGAGGGAGCCTCACAACTGGAGAGTAAACACTTTCAAGCTTCCTTAATGATTTCTCATTCCTGGATTGCTGGAGAGTTGCCAGACCTGTAAACTTCCTCAATTTAATTAGCAGCTGTCATCACCTTTTCTTTCAAGATATGACAACAATGCTTATAGGGATTTGTTAGTTCTAAGGGTAGAGGGAGGAAAAGGAGAGAGAGACATCAAAAAACAAGTGGATAGTTATTAAAAGAGGCATTGCTGTGGTTTGTGCAGGAGTTTTAAGTGCTTCCACATTACCCATTAACTTTAATGGTGAACACATTGTTCATAGGTTACTACGAAACCAATTCCAATCTATTTATCAAAGAACTTGCAGTCCTTCTGAAAGGAGAGCAAAACAATGTTTAAATTTTCAGAGCAAGTTAAGAATGCAGGACCTGAGCAAAATTAAAACAAACACAGTGTCCTTGCCCCTCACCCAGCTTTCCTACAGTACATCTTGGGTCTTGTTATTTCTATAGTTTCACAATTGGTTCAGATGTTGCCACAAACTTTCAGCAATTACCCTGTAGGCTTGTGTCCTGTACTTCTATCAATCTGAAAATGACCAAAACAAAACATGCTGAGCAGTTAATTTGGGGATTTCAGTTAATACATTGAACTGACATTGCTATATACAGTACATTCATTACAGCAATAATATTACAGTACAGGAGACTAGAATGTAATCCCAAAATGCAGGAGCCTTCCTAGCCATCTCATATTTAGTTGTGCAATTCAATTGCCACAGGACCACATTAGAGATGCATCTCATGCCAAAGTACAATTTTTTAAAACTGAAACCATTTGGAGGTAAATGAGAAAAATAATAAAATTCAGCCCTTCCTCCCTCCCTCC